CCCCCCCCCCGGTCAATGGTGTCCCACTTTACCAATGTTAAAATCTGGTCACCTTAGCTTAAGAGCCTCTGACCACCAGTACCAGCAGCCCTCCCCACCAGCAGGGTGGTGCTCCTGGGCTCCCTTCTTGCTCCTGATCACAGCTCCGCTGATATCTAAGGCCCTTTGCAGCCCTGCCCCAAGAAGCCTGGGTTGCCACTTCATACCCACTGGCACCTGCAAACCCTGAGATAAGCCTTTGAAGCTAGTGACCTTACAGAGTCAGCCCTGTCAGTACAGCCATATAGGCTGAGCAGTGCACAACTGGAGCGGGTGGGTGCAGGCACTTACTACAGCAGCAACAAACATCACACGCCCTGGCTCAGCGCCTGTAGCTCAGTGAATAGGGTGCTGGCCCCATGCACCAAAGGTGGTGGGTGCGAGCCTGACCTGGGCCTGCTAAACATCAATGACAACTGCAACCAAAAAATAGTCAGGTATTATGGCTGGTACCTGTAGTCCCAGCGACTTGGGAGGCTTAGGCAAGAGAATCACTTAAGCCAAGGAGCTAGAGGTTGCTGTGAGCTGTGACACCAGGGCACTCTACCAAGGGCAGCATAGTGAGATTCTATCTCAAAAAAAAAAAAAAAATCACACACCCTACACTTCACACTTCCATGCATTAACACAGGGAATCTCTTGACAACCCTACAGAGTAAGTCCTAGTACCATTCTACCATGCAGGTGAAGGCCACACAGCTTGAGTGGAGGAGACAGGCCTGAACCATGCACCATAGCTACCATGTAGACCACGATGTGGACGCCAGCCTAGGGATTCTGCAGGACAGTGAGCTAAAGATACCACCATATCCATTAAAGCTCAACTTTTTAAAACAACAATAAAACAAGAACTGACTAATAAAAAGTTAGGCTAATTGTTGAGGGAGAAAAGGAGATACAACCCCAGGGGGCTCAGGGCCCCAGTAATGTTTGATTTCTATGGGTCTGACAGCACCACTTGTAGTTTTCAAAATATAGAGAGAGGTACATTCTACATATCCTTTCGGTGTCTGTGGATGTACTTATAAATTTTTTTAAAAAACAAGGGAGATAGGATTGGCCAGAAGGTGTCAGCCAGACACAGACCTGACCATGGGCCCAGATGGCAGAGGGTGGAGCCCAGGGCAGGGGACTGCCAGGCTAAAGGCAGCTGGACCCATCCTCCCCAGAGAAGCCAGCGCTGTGTCCACTCAGCCATGACCCCTAGAAAGGAACCCCAAGACAGAAAGATTATGACAGGGACTGGGGACAGGGTAGGGAAGCCTGCTGATGCTTTCTGGAGTCAGATGCGACCCAGCCTGGTGTCTGTGAGCTACAGATGGGCCCAGAAAGCTGCTGCTGCCTCTGCCCAGCCCTGTCTGGACTTGACGCCCTGTCTTCTTCATGTCAAGAGTAGCCCTGTGGGGTTCCCAGGACCATTCCTGACAATATCTATAGAGGCAGCTGGGCAAGCAGGCCTGACTTAAGTAAGCAACACTGGGAGGCACAATCCCAGGGCCTGGGTGGCCCTTCTCTCTCCGTGTAGTGGCATGGCTCTCTACCACGGCATGACACCTTCCACACTGCTCCCAGGTCCTTCCTCCAGACTCCTCCAGAGACACCATCCCCAAGGCCCTGTGTACAGTCTTGCCCTGCCTGCATCCAGCTGCTCCCCTCAGCTCAACTCCAACACCCACTGACACCGATGACTCAGGCCTGAGCCCCAGAACCATGGCTCCAGGCCCTCCTCCTGCTCCCCAAAGGAGCTCCCTGCATCCCTGTGGCCAGTGCCCTGCCTGGCACTAAGAAGGTTCTCCTCGATGAGGGACTGGCCCAGGAGGCTGCCTGTGACTCCCCGTCAGCTCTGTGCCCAAGCTGCAGGGCGGGGCAGACCCACTCCCCACTCACCCTCCAAAGAAGGGCACAGGAGGTGATGGAAAGCCCCTAGCTCCTGTTTGGGGACCAGTTGGGTAAGGAATTCTAATGCCTGATAAATTCTGGTCAGTATAAAAGGACCCTACAGCCTCACATCACAGAGCCTGTAAGTCCAGGTCCTGTTTGCCCACCTAACAACAGATAACAGCCACAACCATAATAATAAAATAATAAAAGATGTCATTCCTGTAACAAATACTATCTCTGATCTTTACCACTATAAAAGGAGGAATATTTACTCCCACCTACAGAAGAGGAGACTGAAGATCAGGGAGAGCATGTGACTTGCCTAGTTAAGGAAGCACTGGAGTCAGGATTTGAGCCCAGGCCCATCCCACCAGAGCCTGGGCTCCACCCTGACTTCCTGCCTTGCCAAGGTAGGTTCTTTGTGGGTAGAGGGCAGTCCTGCTGTGACCAATACCTGATACTTCACAAGTGCAAAATGAGGCTCTCTGCATCCAGACAGGCAGGGTCCCCATTCCCATTCTGCAGGTGAGGAAACTGAAGCTCCTCCCTTGAAAGCAGAGCTGAGTCCAAGGGATTGAAATCATTTACAGAGTGCAAAGAATGAACTAGAGGCAACTTGTCTGATGTCACATCATAACAGCAACTGACCCAGCTACTCTGAAGGCTGAGGCAGGAGGATCTCTTGAGCCCAGGAGAAGAGTATGAAGTCGCACTGAGCTGTGATGATGACACTGCACTGTAGCTAGGAAGCAGAGCAATGCTGTCTCAAAAAAAAAAAAAAAAACCCCAAACAAAAGGAATGGAGCTAAGATTTGAACCCAGGCAGGCAGGCTGCAGAGCCTAAGCCCTTAACCCCAGCACATCACTGTCTTCCGGAAGTCCAGGCCAATCCCACCCAGGCTGACCTTGCACTGTCTCTGCTCCGTGCCCTCTGAGTTCCCAGCTGCACATCTGAGGCTGAGGTGTCCCCTGGGCCAGGGTGGTAAACAGCCACCACCACCTGTTCCTGCTCAGTGAGCAAGAGGAAGCAGAGCTCTTTGCCCAATAGAGGAAGTTCCTGGGCGGGGTGTGGAAGGCTGGGAGAGCCTGCCAAGAGGGGTCCCAGCACAGCCTGAGGTCCAGGAAGGGTCCACCTCCAGTGCCCCAGCTCAAGGCCCGGTGCTGCCTGCACGGCCAGGGCACATAGCCCTTCCTCCCACAGGCATAGCCCCTTTCAGTTGCAGGCAGCCGGCTGGCATGCCCAGTGGGTGAGTCAGCACCCAGTGCCCGCTGACTCACCTGCCGGAAGCCTCCACTGTCCCAGTCCTCTTCTCACACAGGCCAACTGAGAACTTTGCTCCCTTTGGGCCCTGGGTCCTGGGTTGGCTGATAGAGAGTTTCCTGTGCGTCACGCCAGGGGTGGGGGAAGTCCCCAAGGTGCCACCCTCCAGTCTTTCCAACAGCCACAGGTTAGGGGGGTAAGTAGCCACAGCAGGCAGGGCCATTGCTCCCTAAAGCCTTAGTGTCCCCTCAGGAGCCATCAAATCAAACTGTCTGAGCTGTATGGAGCTTACCCATGAAATGTCCCCATGGGTGGCACTCCTGGGGCAGCAGGGGCAGGGACCACGAGGACACATGCAGTTTGTAGACCCAGACCATGCTGACCATATGTGCCCCTGCCCTTGGCCTCTGACCCCAGCCAGAGATAGCATGTGGGTGTGAAGGCTGATAGGAACCAGCAGGGCTGTGGAGCCTGGCCTCTCATGTACCCATAGAGAACTTCTCAGGACAGGACAGGGCACCTGCTGCAAGGCAGAAGCTCAAAGGTAAAGCTCCCCTAAGTTCAAGTGCCAGCCACTTCCTGCTTTGTTCAAATTCCATTGAGAAGGTGAAGAGCTCCATGCTGCGGGCCCAGTGTCCAGGATGGGGAGGGCACAGGGTGAGGATTCCCACCTTTGGATTCAGACTTGCTGCTACTCCTGTCTGACCCCAGTTTTGCACCTGTCAAATGGGTCACACTACAGTGAGTATGCAATGTGCCAACTGTAAAGGGCTGTGCACACGAGACCTCAGTCCTTCCTCTAGATCCGACATGACATGATGGCTAGGGTAGAAGAGCATCCCACCAGCTCAGCTCAAGCATCTTCCACAGGAGTGGGACACAGGGAAGCACTGGGGAGACCATAGTCCTGGGTGGAACCCCAGCTCCAGGTATCCCAGCTGTGTGGCCTCACACAAGGCACTTAATGCCTCTGAGCCTCAGTTTCCTCATCTGTAAATGGGGCTATTAGGAATAAATAAGAGAACGCATGGCATGTGGGAAGAAGCTGAAGTGGGAGCCCTTAGAAATGTTGATGAGGGGCATTGTGGCTCCCCTACCACATCCTTCCCTAGACCCAAAAGAGGTGCAGGGTCCTAGGGGAGGCCATTGACCTTCTACCCAACCCATTTAACATCATCTGGGACCTAGTATAAGCTGGAAGTTCATCTCGGCCCTCTCTGAAGAAAGGCCCAGAGAGGGCAAAACCAGGCCTCAAGAATCCACTGTGCTTTCCTGCCACATCCACAAATCCCCTCCCTTCACAAGTCTGCAGCTGGAATTTTTATCTTGATGAGGCATTCCCTGCTTGGAGAGCTGAAATACCTCCAAAACTAAACATTGCTTCTAACCCTTTCCCAAGCTCTCCACAGTGGAGAAAAGTCTGATTGCCAGTTCCCAAGCTCCATGAGGTCTGTGCAGCTCATGTCCCTCCCCAGCCACCTCCCCCAGCGAGTGCCTCCTGAGTTACTCACAGTGGTTGGGCAATGGTCAGGGATCCGGCCTCCCACTTATGTAAGACATAATTACCCTGCCCACCCGGCTCAGCTGCCTGTCACTGCAGCTGCCAGCAGCAGGGGCCAAAAAGGACCCATGCCCTCCCCAGTCCCCACAAGGGCTCCCAGTGCCTGCACATTTCCAGAGAAGGAAGGGGCTGCTCCCGCTCACACTGTAGCCACCATCCCAACAGAGGCAGGCCCTGACTCTGCATAGAGGCCTTTCCAGCAAGAAAAATGGTAACAGTAATAGGATGTGTAGGGAGCCCCTTCCTGAGCACCTACTCTGTGTCAGGTGCCCACCATCTCACCCACACTCGCTTAAAGCTCTTTAGTATTCTGTTTCATGTCACACTCTCGATGTCCCAAGAAGTAGGTATGATTACTCCCATTTCATAGGTAAGGAAACTGAGACCCAGAGACCACAAACATCAAGGGGCTGCCAGGGTGAGGTAGCAGCAGGTTCAGAGAACCAGGAGGCTGCTCGTTCATTACAGCAATGTCCAGTTCGGAAATCTCTCACACAACTCAGACTCTGACACACCAAAACATCCTTTCCTCTTCCTGAAAAAAAAATCCCCCTACTGCTCTCCAAGTTTCACGCCCCCCACCCCCACCCTCCCGCATGACAAATCCTACTGCTGCTCCACCACCTCACAAAAATTTCCAGGAAGGCCAATTACTTGGGGAACCTTGCACAGCCAGCACCCTAACCTGGCAGCCAGCCCAGGTCCCAGGGACAGGCCTGGGAGCAATGAGCCCTGAAGACACTGAGGCACAAGATGGGCTGAGCGTCCCAAGTGCACAGAAAAGCTTGTCATCCAAGACAAGGAGGAGCCAGAGAGAGGGAGCTGTCCATCAGAGAAGGGTGGGAGGCCAAGGGTGGGGGGGGGAAAGGGCTGCAGGACGGGGTGCAGGCCAGCCAGGGAAAGAGCAACGGAAGGCCTACAAGAATGGAAAGAGCTAGGAAAGAGGAGAACAAGGAGTCGTGAAGTGTGGGGTAGCCAGGGCACCTGCATGGGAGTACGAGGTCCCCAACAGAAGTACCTCTGGGGCCCAGGACTAGAAGGGTGTAGCCCAAGGACCCAGGGGGGGATGAGGAGAGAGTTCTTGTCCAGACTGCAGCCGTAAGGCGTAAATGAGGTCAGAGCGAGCTTTCTGACCTGGGGCGGGCTGGGCAGCCTGGGTCCAGCCTGAGAGATCCCGGGCCTGTGTACTGTCCCCAGGCCTAATCTAGGGGACTAGACACGGAACGTGAACAGGGAGAGGTTCTGGAATTCGGCGCTGCTGCTGAGGTCCGCGACAGGATGGGGTAGGACCACAAAGAGGTCAGGGCTCGCAACCCATACCCAGACTAAACGCGGGGGTCAGGCCAAGGTTCCGGCCGGGCGCGCCTACCTTTGGGCTGGGGCATGCCGGCGGGCTGGCTCGAGGCAGGGGACTCCATGCTGCAGACGGGTCAGGGACAGAGGGGAGGGAACTAATCTAGAGGACGGTGGGCACTACCAGGGCCAAGCGCGTTCATGGCTGCGGGCAGACGGCCCAGGCGCGGAGACCAGGCAGAGGCAGCAGCGGCGACGGCAACTGAAACGTGCCCACAACGGGCGGCGCCGGAGCCAGACTGGGCACCGCCGCGGGGGCCCGGGCTGTACTGCGCTGACGCAGGCCCCGCCCCCGCCCCCGCACGCCAATTGGCCCGCCCGTCTCCAGGGCCCGTCCCTTGCCTATTAGACGCCGGACTGGGCCTGCGCGTCAAACACAAGACTCAACCTCTGTTAGCCCAGAATGAAGCCCCGCCCGCAGTCTATCAAGTCCGCCCCTCTTCTGCTATGGCCGGGTCCCTCTAGCTGCCTGTCTACACGCAAGCCCCGCCCAGCTCAGTTGCGCGTCAGGCAGTAGGCCCCGCCCCGCGCGCCCGCAGACTCGCTGTCCCAGAGGGTGCACTGTGTGGGCTTGTCTCCGGTGCGTCATCTGGTCAAGTCCCGCAGAGGTCGCAGGTGGCCCTGCTGTGGCCCGGCTCTGCGGGGAGGCCGGGTACAGCAGCGGGGTTAAAGTGCCCCCTTGAGGTGGGACCGGGTACAGGTCCGACTGGACAGCTTTGTAGTGGGTGGCCTGGGGCATGTAGGTGACGCTGCGAATCTCAGTTTCCGCCTTGGTAAAGAGCTGCGATGACAGACAGCCATGCAATGAGGACAGGTCGGGCGTTGGCAGACACTCGGTAAGAGTGTGTTGACTGAATGTTGCACGGGGCCCAGGACTGTGCCTGTGAGCTCATATTCAGGGCAACTTACCCGACCAAGGTGCTGATTCCGGGTGAACTTGGCGGTGTCTGGTAATGAGTCAGTACAAATAGAGTTCATGGTGGAGCGTTACCGCCCCAGTCCTACACCAGAGGAAACAGTCTGGGGGGAGTGGCATCCCGATGCACTTTATTCCCTCCAGCAAGCCCAAGGCCCCATCTTCATTCTTTCCTGGGCCTTGGTTTTCGCCTCTCCTTTGTGCCTCAATCTGCTTATCTGCATAATGGCTGGAGGAGCGGATGTTCTCTCCGCTCCCACGTGGAGCCTTGGGAGCCCAGGAACCTCTGACCAATCTGGCTCTGCGATCAGGTGACCCTGGATAGAAAGCCAAGGCTTGTGAGGACAGGAAGTGCCTAGCAGAGGTCAAGGGGTCAGCCCTCTCCTCCAGGCAGTGAGTGTGTGCCCTGTCAGGGCCCTCACGTGAAAGATTATAGTACCTGCTAGAAACACCTGGAGCAAGGGGCTGACCTTTGCTTGCTAGTGTGTCAGATGGGGATAATCCCCACAGGGCCCACCCACACAGCAAGAGGGGAGGCCTGATAAGATGAGGGGAAAACCTTGTAATTATCATTATTCTCTTCCTGGCTCTCTTGCTCACCCTTTTCCAGGCAGTGGAATGGAAAATCATGAGTTTCAGGGTCAGATGGGTATGGGTTCGAATATCAACTCTGCCACTCACTAGCTGGATGACCTTGGAGAATTCTCGGAACAGCTCTGTGCCTCAGTTTACTCACCTACCAGTGGGGACAGTGAGGTCTCTGTGTTTCATAAGCTTAGGCTTATAAATGCCATAGACCACCTCTATCCCACTTGTACCACCCACCCCTAAGCTGCACTTATCCATTTTTAAAATGGGTACCCAGCAGCAGCGACCTCTCCATAAGAACCACAGGCCTGGTCCAGCAGGCTTTGTGCCTACTCTGCACATCAGTACGCTCCAGGGTGTTAATGCTGTTCCTTAAATATGTCAGGGGAGGTCCTGCCTTAGGGCACTCACCCTCACTGCTCCCTCTGCCTGAAACTCTGCCTGGAACACCCCCCCCTCATCTCCCTGCCAAGCTTGCTCATGCTGGCTCCTTTTCATGCCTCAGACCTCTGCCTAAATGAATTCCCCTAAGAGGGCTTCCCCAACACAGCCCCCTAGCCTTACTTCTCAGCACAATGCTTATGCCACCCAGGCCCTTGTCACTGACTGTTAACATAGCTCTCTATCCCTCATCCTCCCTGAATCCCGCCCATCTCTTTCCTACTGCATTCCCAATGCATAACCCAGTGTCAGGCACATAGTAGGTGCCTAATAAATGTCTGAAGCATGAACAAAGGAAGGAGGAAAGCATGCCTAAGATACAGGTGAAGTGCATCTAGTCCTGTGCCAGCTCCATAGGCAGCCAGATGACTCAGCCAGGCCCTCATAGAGGAGGAATTTATGGATTAGTCAAGAAACCCGATAAATAGCCCAAGAATCCACACGCCATGTGCTGCTATAAATAGATGCATGAGCAAGATCTCAGGAGGGTACTGGACTCTACCTGGATAGGTCAGGGAAGGCTACTCAAAAGCAGTGACTTTGAGACTGGGCCTTTGAAGACCAGTAGCAGCTTGCAAGGCAGAGAAACAAGAAAAGCATCCTTGAAAAGGAAGAGCAGGGACAAAGAGTCGGTTAAGAGTGTGAAAAGGGCCACAGCTACACATGAGGGCCAGGCCACGGCTCAGCATAAGGGCCTCGCTGGAGAGCCATCATAGCCTTGTCCCTTGCTGGCTTGTCACAGTAACTTTTCTAAGTGGCATAGTCAGTCTAGAAAACTCCAAATCAGCTCAATGCCCGTAGTTCAATGGTTAGAGTGCCGGCCACATGCACCAGGGCTAGCAGGTTTGAACCCGGCCTGCTAAACAACAATGACAACAACAAGCAAAAAATAGCCGGGTGTTGTGGTGGGCACCTGTAGTCCTAGCCACTTGGGAGGCTGAGGCAAAAGAATCACTTAAGCCCAAGAGTTTGAGGTTGCTCTTAGCTGTAATGCCATGACACTCTACCCAGGGTGACAACTTGAGACTGTCTTAAAAAACAAAAAAACTCCATAACCATTTGGAAACCTGAAGGGATGTTTGACATGGGTCACAGGAGGCTTCCTCTTACTTTGATGCCTAAGAGAAAAAGCAAAATCTACTTCTGTACAGATACAGAGAAACTGAGGCTCAGGCTGGGAAGGAGTGCAGCCAAAAGCAGGATGTCAGTGTGCACTGAGGTTTTCAGGACCCAGGGTGAGAGCTAAGCTGGAGAGAAAGGATGATGCGAAGCCAAAATTGGGGCAGCTCATTTGTTTAGCCATTCATTTGACAAATATTCCTCAACACTTACTGGTGTGCCTACCACTGATGCAAAAGCACTGAACAAGGCAGGCACAGATCCCTGCTCCCCTGGGGGAAGTAGTGATGTAGTGGGCAAGCCAGATAAACAAAATGCCTATGTTAAATCATATCACAAGCAGTGTTATGGGAAAAGTAAGAGGGGGCACAGGTGTGTCTGGAGGTGAGGAATATAATTTTAAAGAGGAATGCCAGGAAAAGCCTCCTGGGGAGGTGACATGTAAGCAGAGACCTGAGGAGGTGACAGAGGGAGCCACAAAGATATCTGGGGAAGAGCATTACAGGCAGATAGAACAGTAGCACAAGCAAAGGCCCTAAGGTAGATGACTTGTAGGGGAGTAACCCTGAGACCAGTGTGACTGAGTGGTGGGAGGTGAGGGGCCCCTGTTCTCACCTATGCACACTTCCCCACCATGCTCACTTAGGCTTCCTAGCATAGTCTCAACTTCCTAATTTCCCCTTCACATCACCCCAAATGCACATGCACACATGAGCACAAACGGAATACGTAAGTGTGTGCATGCACATGGAGTAGCCACAGGGGACTCAACAGCATGTGCACAGACAGCTATGCACAGCTGGGTGCAGGGCTGACCACCTTCGGGTGGTGGAGTGGGGGTGGCAGGGGAGGGCTCCGCAGCTTGCTAACCCACAGTGCCCTCTGGCGACCAGGACAGGCTGCATGATCAGTCTCAGCCTCCTCCCTGTGCATCCTGCACCAGGCCTTCACACATAGCCAGAGAGAGCCTTCCAGAGCAGGGTTAGATATGCTCCACACCCTGCCAGGGCCCCCTAGGCAGGGAACTTCCAACACTCTGATCCCTGTGGACTTCTCCAGATATCCCCTAGTCCAGCCACACCCAGCCCAGTCTTCTTCCTTGGACCTTTCTTTGTAGAAACTGTTCCCTAGCCAGGAAGGTCCTTCTCTGGCTTCCCCCGATACATTCCCTCTGCTCTTTCAAGGCCCTGTTCTGAAACCAGGAAAGGAGGCCTCTGCCGGCCAATCTTATCACAGATCACCCACTCTGCCAGCGGCCAAGACCTCTCTGCCTCTCCCCATAGATGTAGGCTGGGTCATTCTGCATGGCATTCCTCCATGCTGGAGGAGGTGCCCGGGAGAAGTGAGAATTCACCCAGAGACTCCTGGAAGCAGGCAACAGGTACTTCCTAAGCATCTCTCAGGCAGGTCAGGTACTGAAGCTGCTATATACAGAGGAGGTACCTGGGGAGAGGCTCACCTGCTTCGTATAAATTGTCATCATCTTGGAATATCAAAGGATGAATTATCAGAAGTGACATGGCTCCTCTAGCAAAACAGCAAGTCCCATTTTCACAACTCCAACTGTGTGCTGACCCCTTGAAGTACATCATCTGGTAGACTCACTATGATATAAGCTGCACAGGAGCCCTGCCTTTGCTTTAATCACTGCAGTGTCCCTGGCACACAGTAGGTGCTCAGCCAACACTCTTGGGATGGAGGAAAGCTCACAACACCCCAGAAAGATCACCATTATTACCAGTATCTCCATTTAACAAATGAGAAAACCAAGGCTCAGAGAAATGCCCAACACTTCCAAGACTGCCGGTAATAGCAGAGCTATTGTTTGAACTCTGATCTGTTAGAAGGAGACAGTTTTCCCTGCCTTTTTCTCCCCCACGCTTCCACTAAAATGGTTTGCAACACTGCTTCTATAGAAAACAAGCTACCCTTGAACTCACTCTGCTGCTTTCTGGAAAGATGTAGCCTCTTGCAGAGTACTCAAATCTGGCATCCCTGATTCCATGTGGGGTTGCACAAAATCCCTGTGGCTGCCCTAAACACCAGTCCAGGCATTCCAGCATGGTGCTTCTCTGCCTTTGGGGTCCTAAAGTATCAAGCAGCCTGCCCAGGAGCTGGGGACACTATGGGACAGGCATTTATTGACACTTGTTTCAAGCCAGCCCTGGGGA